GAGAGAGAGAGAGAGAGAGAGAGAGAGAGAGAGAGAGAGAGAGAGAGAGAGAGAGAGAGAGAGAGAGAGAGGACACATGCATGTAGGAAGAGAGAGACAAAGAGAGAGAGTGAGGCAATGAGAGAGAAGGGCACCTATCTGGAAGAGGATGCTGGATATGGGTTGTTGAACTCTGGGCCATTGAGCGCTTGGTGACTTGAACTCAGAAACTGTTAAATATGATAAGTCGCTGGAATTTCTAAGCTGCGCTAATCTGCCCTGGTCTCCAGTGTGGATTTAGTGTGATATCTCAATGTGTGTGTGTGCTCAAGGTGACGAGCAGTCTGGCCCAATGCAAACAGCTGGGCTCACAATGCTGTCTCATGCATCTTGTTAGCAGCCAGCTGGTGATATGGATATCAGTAGGATGGATCTGTTGATTGATCTTTGGGTCTGTTGTATGTGTTTCTGTTCATGCATCTTGCATTCGACACAACGACTGGTTGTTGCTTGTATCATGTCTTCTTTGCTGGACCAGTATGCATCATTTTTTCTTTGCTAAGTCTTGCTACGCTGTTTCGTTGCTTCATTTGCAGACTCGGTTTCATCCCTGTGACCCAACCAAGCTGGTCACTGCATCTGTTGATGGGTTGATATGTGTTCTAGACACATCCACGACATTCGATGAGGATGACTGCATCCTAGGGGTGAGTGCCTCGATGCGACTCGTACGCTTCTCTAATTTTTTGTGGATCTCTCTCTCTCTCTCTCTCTTGCACATCCATGAGGTGAATGCATTGGTGCACCTGTGTGTGTGTGTGTGTGTGTGTGTGTGTGTGTGTGTGTGTGTGTGTGTGTTGTTGTCAGGTGATTATGAATTCAAAAGGCGTAAAATCAGGATGATCTATGCCGACTCTTTGCCAACTTCAGTGTGGATCAGTGGGAGGCCATGTCAAGCATATCTGTTAGATTCTGACAGGATCTGACAGAATATGACTGATGCATTGGAGATTCTGCCTACTAAACTGCAGATGCAGCTGTATGGGAAAAAAAAGCCACATGACCTTTTTTCTCCCAATACAATGTACTGCAATCAGACTTGTCTTCTTCGACACTCAACATGCGTGCAAACAGATGACGATCAAACTGGCGCCTTGCGCCCACACCAAGCTCAGAGATAATGAGGCAAAGAACACAATCTCGATTCAAACTTGCCTTGATCAGCTATGGTCGAACACTGTTCTCCCAGCAACTTGTTCGCACACACACCTTGGATCTCCCTGGATTTCCTGCACTCATACACACATATCACACATACACACTCACACACACACGTACTAACTATGATAACTAGCAGCTATGGCTACCGCCTACTTCTTATCACTAACAACACCAGTGGCTATGGCGGCATCTTCCTCCTCTTAGCCCACTTCCTCTTCAGGCACCTGCAGACCGTCGTATACAAGATGCTTCGACAGCGCTTCCGCAAGGCTCACAAGCAGAATGAATCAATGGCTTGACACTGCCTCTTTATTTATACTTCAGATCGTCAAAGGTCTGCCCTTTGATCCTGGACCCGGGGTGCACACAGTCCCACTTGGTACTTGCTGACTACACAAAGTGTGACTGGGACTAGGTACCGATGACTAGGCTAGGTAGGCCTAGGACTGCCCTTTGCTGACTGTGCTAGGACTGCCGTTCGCTGACTCAAACGCGGACTGACCTCTAAGACCTACGAAGAGCCACTTTCGGAAGTTCCGGAAGTTGGTAGACTTGACTCTTTGAGATCGTAGCAGTTACGACCTCTACCATTGCTAAGAGTCCTAATATGTTGACCTACGGCTCAACACCCGACGGCCACCCTACATACAACATCTAAAAATACGACTTTCAGACAGCAAGTCTTGAGTTCAAACACACACGGGCTCACGGGTACTGTAGACGATGTCGCACTTTTTCCAATCGGGCCACTTCTGGCGACCGGAAAGCCAACAGGCTGTCACGCAGGGTTTGAATGAATTTTGCAAAAAATAAATAAATTTGAGTAAAGCAAGTCCCTTCCCATTGTGTGTGTCCGGCTTCGAGCTAGACCCTTCAATTGCAGTCTTCGTCGGTCCCCAGTCCTAGGAATCTTTTATTATGATTCGGAACAACAAAGATCATGCAAATAATAATCATGAAATTTTGGTGTGCCTTCTATGTATCAATTCTACCAATCTACTAATTTTGAGAACTGTGGCAAGATCACCAGTAAGCATAATCATCAAGCAGAGTCAATGCAAGTGAAGCAAGACTAACTGACTCATAATAAATGAAGGAAAAGTGAGAACTCATAATAATCTCAGAAAGTACAAATGAAAGGGCATGGCCAGCACTCGCCAAGAGTCCTCACTTATCCCTGTAGGGTCTTATACTAAATATCTCATTTGGCTGTGCATTTCCTGTGCCTTGAGCCATGTCCACGTACTCCTTGAGATTGTGGCCTCTGGATGTAGACCCACCTAAAACCTGCAAGTTTCAAACACTTCCATCCAAGACCCATGATACGAAAGTCGACCATAGCACAAAATTCCTCCCATAGTGTAGGGAGATATGGTTGGGAGAAAATCCCTCGTCTGAGATGCTGGAACTCTGAGGGTTCAGTCACCGTCTCATAGTCAATCTCTGCAGAGGAGATACACCTCTTGGCCAGATCGACTAAATCACCCCAGTAAGAACCATCCGTAAGAAGAAAAGGAACAGGAGGCCTGGGGTAGCATAAAGCATGTGTCCAAAGCTACGGACCAGCTTGGTACCACTCTCATCAAACTCTCTTTCCTTCTCCTCAAGATACTTGGCCGCTGACACCGAGACTGAATCAAAGTGCTCGTGAGTCCCGTTACCCTTCTTCACATAAAGTCTTAGGTCATGAATAGTGCGCTTTGCAATTCTGGTGAGGACAACAAAAATTGACAGATCTTCTTGCCTGAAACCAGATGCACTGACATACTGATAGTTAATGGCATCTTTGAGAGCAATTCTGTTGAGAGAACTTGAGACTAGTCAACACTAACTCGCTAACTGAAAATGACTGAATGGCATGTGCTGAGACTGTTACTGCCCCGATTTGGATATCCTAGATAACGCCCTGACTGACTGACACTGGCTCGTTGAGATGGCGAGCGATGGCTGAACAGCGGTGGCTCTTGACTGAGGGTTACTGGTGAGACCCCGAATCTCTAAGATTTATTGAGCAGCAGGTCGCTGAAGATGGTCTGAAAGTGGAAGAGTGATGGTTGATCCTGTTTGCCAACTTGCCAGAAATGAGAAATAATCAACACTAAGATTCTTTTGTCGGACTCTGTCCTACTACATCACAAAAACGTTTCAAAATGGCGGCGCGGTCGGGAGCACCGCGCCGCTCCGCTATCGACATGGGCCGGTTCGTGAGTCGTTGGCGCCTTGTCGGCACGGCTCCATGCGAGAAATATCAACAAGTTGATGTGGGCAATGGGGATTGCGGCGGCAGGCGATGACGCGAGGTTCCGTTGGTTTTGTCTGGCGCAGCCATAGACATTATGCTTCGGCTGAGGGTTCTTCCAGCCTTGATAATCTAGGCTGAAGAGGTCTCTTGCTCCGTGCTTCATTTAGGTGGTGTCGCGGGTTGACACGCTGGAGGAAGGGAGGCTATTGGGGTGATTAGGATAGTCTTCATGAGATCTTTGGCATGGTAGTGGCCCTTCTCCTGTGCTTCTGCGCGAATCTAGTGGAGGTTGGTTGGGCAGTGCGGGCAGAAAGCGAGGAGCATCTTCTCATGCGGAGTGGGAGGAAGGAGGCTTGTCACAAGCTGGAGCGTCAAAAAGAGCTTGGTGGTTTCAAGTGTTTGTTTGAGCTGGTTCACCGGTTAAAGACACGGAAGCAGGTAGGGGCGCAATAATGACAGCGGCGATGGAGCAGAAGAACTTCGTGCGAACATGTGTGGCGCTCTTCGCGTCGGCTGCCTTTTCAAATTGATTTCACTGATTTTAATTTTGCATATTCTAATTCCCTTTATTCTTGCTCTCATCTAGTGTGTACACAGTTATAAACTCAGCTTCTCAAATTTGGAAAAATAAACTCACAATCTATCTTCTATTTTCTGATCAGCCAAATTCTCATCTACATGTACACACATACACACATATCCTTGAATTTCGACTATGATTTCTAAAAGTCCCAAGTAAAGTATTCTCATCATACACACAAACATATATCATCCATTTTGAATCGCCAGCATAATTTGTAGGGATCTGTTCTATAACTACGTATCCTTGAATTTCGACAATAATTTCTAAAAGTCCCAAGTAAAGTTCTATCATGATTTTCTAATCTTGGAACCCGAAAACTTCGGAATCTATCCGATAAAAATTTTGTTTCTTTTAAATTGGTGATACGTGCAAATGGTGGGAGCTGCCAAAAGTTGATTGGCGCAAGGGCCAGGGAATAATTGTAATAGTCTTACTGCCGCCCTGCGCTTTCTTCAGTGGGTCTTAAAGATGTAGGGTGTTTTCAGGGGTTATTGCATAATTTTGAAGAGGCCCTGCTTTTCCAAATTGCGATTGACATTTTGGTAACTTTGTCATTAATAACTGTAGTTGGCTGGATCGGATAGTTCCCGGAGGGCTGAATGGTAAGAAGGGGGTGGGGGGAGCTATATCTTGCAGGGGCATCACGAGGTGGGGGGTGGATGTCTTAAAGAGGGTAGAGGGGGAGTAGGGGGTTGCCCTATTCTAGGGCAGGGGCTGGTGTGTGGGTCAACATCAATCCCACTGGAGGCAGAAATGGGCAAGGGGCGGGGGGGCATGCTTTAGGTGGGAACTGCGTGCTCCTGGGGAAAGCGGGGTAGAAGGTTGGTCCTATATTGGGGCCGAGGGAGAGTGGGAGACTCGCCTTGGCGGAGGCAGTGTAAGGCTGAGGGTGAGGGGTAGGGTGAGGGAAGGGCGATCTCTCTTGAAGAATTCCAACATCCAGTTTAGTATTTCTTTCCATTTTGGTTCTCCTCTCGAGGAGGTTGTACGAATAGGTGATATCTGGCAAGTCATCTGTGATCCTGCGAAGGGTGGTCGAAAATTCGGTGGCCCTCGAAGACCGATGTGGGAGCAACGCTGGCCGAGCCGGAGCCAGGTGGCGCAACTCTGTGACCTAGCTTAGTGGGGGCGTGAGGCCTGGTAGAGAGATCTGGGGGGCTGTTTGCGGGGGCAGTCTCAGTGGTCATTGGGGGTCGTAACTGGAGCAATGCTGGCCGGTGCTGGAGCAAGGTGGTGCAACTCTGTAACGTAGCCTGATGGGAGCATGAGGCCTGGAAGAGCTTCGGTTCGTGCTGAAAACAGCCATGCTGGTGGTGGTCGTAGGTGGATTGAATAGGTTTCACCTATCTGATTCATGGCTGGGAAGCTTTTTGACACACATCTTCTAGTGACTTGGTAGAGTTTGAGTAGTGGACCATGAATGTTTCCGAGTTTTCCCTTTTCTTCAATTAGTCTTAGCCGAAGCCGGGTAATGGCCCCGGTAGCTCATTTTTGTATTCTGATAAGGGACGCTGGGCCTGGTTCCCAGTCGTGTTGGTCCCCACGAATAGATTGGAGCATCGTCTCAAACAAAACAAAAAAAACATTCTTCTGTCGGAAAGAAAATGAGTTCAGAAGCGTTTGAATTTATCAATAATAATCCGCCAGTGAACTGGTGCTCA